GCCCAGCGGGACAGCAGCGCCTTAATTTCTTGCTATTACCGGCAGCGCCAAAGATGGGTGCCTTCCAGCATGTCCCTGTCCTGCCGTGTGTCTTTGCTGCTGGCCTCGTCATAGGGGACAAATCCTAGCGGGTCCTACTTGCTTACAATTAGCGACATTCTTAATTCCAGTGTTTGTAATCTGTGCAGAAACTTGCAGTAGGTGAAGGGCAGCAGTGGGAACGGGCTGACTGCTATTTAGGTAAATAAGCAGTTGCATCTCATACGTGTAACAAGACCAGGTATTTCTCCTGTAATATTTAACAGGGGTGCAGCTGTTGCTATGCATGAGAAGCCTTGGGTCATTTCTGTCTCTTCTGCGGGTGAGGTGATAATCTGGGCCTTACGATATACTGAATGTTCTCCAGCTTGAGCAGTATGTGTATGGTTGTAGGTTTTACGGTGTACTAAGGCTAATCTTTCATGTTTGCTGTGGGTGGGAAGGTGAGAAGGTTTGTAGTGCGTCCTCCCATCAGCTGCTGGGTGCTGTTGGCTAGGAAGACGATAAGCGTACACACCTTTACTCCATGTTTTCCGCACCAGCCATGGTGGCCGCTGATCAAAACATAATTTTAAGAGGTGACTTTTACCAGTTTGTGCTGTCACAGTGCTGTGAAGATGACCCTTCAGCAAGGGAGGATAAATCCCAGTAGTTCCAGTGTACAACAGCAGTCACTACTGGGCTTAGAGAAAGCGTCAGGTGGGTTACACAAGTGTTGCATGTCTGTTCAGATCCAGAGCGTAAGTAAATTTTGCTTGCTGCCTACCACAGATGTGTCAGCTCTTCTGTATATTTGTTGGAGAGAGATACACATGCACGCACATGCATACATGGAGAATATGCATATATTTTGTATCACTTGCTGTTCTCTGGTGTTCTGGGGTATACTGCAGCATGCTGCCCAGCTCGCCAGAGGGGCAACGGACAGCAAGCACCTTCCTGATAGTTGGACTGCAGTAAAGTCGTGGAGAATGCTGTTAAAAACGGATCCAGTGGCCTGCTGTCAGATTTTGTCTGCGTGTGTATTCATTCCAAAAGAACTGGGAATGATAAGGAAATGCTTTTTTACTGTGAGGGTGACTGAGCACTGGTACAGGTTACCCAGAGAGGTTGTGGAGTCTCCATCCTTGGAGATACTCAAAAGCCATCTGGATGTTGCCCTGAGCAGCCTGCTGTAGGTGGTCCTACTTGAGCAGGGAGGTTGGACAAGATGACCTCCCCAGGTCCTTGCCAACTTCAACCATTCTGTGATTCTGTGAAAATAACTGCTGCTTTGGTGTGAAATTACATGTGACTGCTCTTGAGTGACTCACTTTAACTAAAAAGTTATGAAGAAATTAATTGAATAAACCTCAAACTTTTATTTGAAAATAGTTGTTGAAATACATTCACATGGAACAGCAAATGGTTATTTGAAAAGAGGACTTTGTGTGTAGACAGCCTCAGAGAGATGAAGACATCACTGTCTGCATGGAGCACAATTAATTGGGGTAATCTAAAAGCAGAATTGTTTTGTGTCTGGATCTGCATGACACACCTCTTGCTCCAGCGTAGGCTGGTAATTCTGCCATTTTATTTTTCTGATTGGTATTTAGAGTTGTATTTTTAAAATATGATTGATGAAACATTTCGACTGAGTTTTATTTTCTTAAAGTCAAAAAGTTCAGGAATGTTATTTCAGGCATAGTTTGAAAATACAGTATCCAGGCTTAACAGGTGTTTACTTTTTTAAAAAAAGTGAACGTATCTGAACATTGCATATACACGTCTGTTCCTCCAAATCTGTTAGAGAAATATATGTGCATCCTTCTCTGTGCTTCATATGCAGAAAAATGATTTTGTGTTTATAAGTTACCAGGATGTAAAAGGCTTAGAAACCTTCCTGGAACATAAAGTGAAGTGCCACAAGTGCACAATGGGAACAGGCTATTATATTAATATTGATGTTATGTGACCTTGCAGGGCCTTTAGCCAGGCTGTGTTCGTGATACGTTAGGATCATGCATTTCTGATTGATTTCCATTGTTTTCTGCTGGAATTGAAAAGGTTATTTACAGCAATGATTATTGATAGTTTTCTTACTTTAGGAATTTACTTCTCTTTTACATTGGAGCTATAGGGTACTTTAGTTAGTATACAGTTAACTTGTGGCGTATTCATTAGCTTATATTTGCTTTATCTCTTCAAACCATATAAATTGTCATTGGCAAACGTTGCACAGAAGTAACTTCCAGTAAGACTGTTATGTTATGCTATCGCTAATACATTAAGAGTAATTTGCGTGTAGATCCATAGGATCAAAAAGGAGGCCATTGGGGATTTATGATTTTGAGAAATATAAGAAAATGCTTTTGCAAGTCTCTTGGTATGCTAAAAACTTTGGCTTTCTGGAATTTAACAATGAAGTATTCGGAATGTAAAATATGTTTTTATCAAAACCAATGTGTTGATGAATTTAAATAAACTAATTACAACATCTATTTTCTTACCTTACATATCTATTTGCAAAGATTAGCATTACAGATAGAAATCCATAATTTACTTGTTAATCTGTTCTCTTCTGGTTTGTTCACCAAGCTTACTATAAAAATATATTTATATATTCCAAGCTTGTATGTTAGTAGGTGCCATTTTCTGAATTTAAAAATAGACTGCATGTGTTGCATAAAATGCCTTTGGGCAGGAGAGGAGGGGGATATCTGTCTGGTTGACGTGGAACATAAGAAAAAAATCTGAAGTATGCTAGAGCTAAATATACTGATAAGCATGCAGCTATGGGGGAAAATGAGTTAAAATGTATTGAGTTTGGTCTTATTAGCACATTAAATGCCAGCAGAACAGTCATACTCAACCTTTTATTTCAGAAATAACCACCATTTTGCTGTGAAGACAACTCAGACCTTGTAGCGAGTGCAAACAAAGGAAATATTTCTTTAGAGGCTCCTTACGCAGGGCGACGGTGGTTTGCTCTTTGTTCTGCCAGCTGTCTGCAGCGCTGGTGCAGAAAATGGACGCTGGAATGTTTAAATAAACTTTAGACGCTGTGGCCTCACAAACGTTTTGAACTGATTCCCCTTTTTAAAAGTAAGTCTGAAGCAGATGTAAATGAGCGTGGCTGGGCTTTTCGCGATGGCTCAGGGCGATACACCTTGGGATGCGAAGCCACGCTGCTTCCTTCGGATTAGTTCATCATCACAGGGAAAGGTGTGAGATTGTCGCAGGCTTAAGAACATGATCACTGCAGCAGGAGGCCCTTGCCGAAGCGGCAAGGTTGGCCTGTCTGTTTATCCCTCAGTTACTTCTGAGTTGGTGAGATCCGTTACAACAAGCTAGTGAAAAAATCCTAGGAGGATTATCAGAAAGGTAACATGTTTTTTTTCTGTTGCTGTAATTAAGCTGGCCATAGAGTAGTGCTCTTCAACTCATTTATAGGCTGTGCATTTTAAAATTTCTTGGCGACATAGTTGAAAATAAAGTGATTCACTGGCAGGAATATAACAATGTTAATACTGTTCAGCCAAATGCAGCTTGCTTTCAGCCAGCCACGTACCTGATGGGGCTGCCCTGTGCAAGGGGCGACTGGAAGGAGGTGGGTCGGCAGGCACTGTCTGTGTGCGGAGACCCTCCGTGGTGGGCAGGAGGGTGCTGGGGGACCCAGGAGGTGCAGTACAGGCTTTTCTTGTGTGTGTGGTACCAAGCCGAGTGTAACGGCAGCTGGTGCGAGCTATCGTTGCTGGTGCCCAGTAAGAAACGTTTGCCAGGGCAGCAGAAGACAGAGATTGGAATGGGAAGGCTTGAAGTCCTCCTGTGTAGCTGCTGCTGGTGAGCGAGGGCTGCATGCTGCTAGATGGATGCTGTGGAGACTGGAGTCTCTTCCAAGGCTTTCTGAGAAATAAACTTGCCTTAAAAATAGTCTGGAACCTTTCCTAGGGTCTTAGAAGAATGGAGACCAACTCCTGTTGCCAGGGAATGAGACTTTGATATGTAGTGCCTGTAGCTAGGGGCATGGTTGGGTGTAATTTCATTTAATTCACTGGATTTGCGTCCATTACTTTCAGCACTGGATTTGGCTCTGTTTAGGTAGCGATGGTTTGTAGATGTTTGGAGACTTCTTTATAGTAATGCTGGAGTTTGATTATTGGGTTTGGAGGGTTTGCTTGTTTTATTTTGTGACTGCTCTGACCTAGAGAGTTCTTCGTATGACCCAAGAAGGAGGTTTAGAAACAAGCTCTTGGCTAAGCTCTCTAAAGTGCTTCTGCCTGTCCAAGTCACTTTTAGGTTCTTTCACTTATTTAGTAGGTTTCAAATATATAATCATAGAGAGCACTGAGATTGGTTAGTGGCATCAGCAATGCTAATCAAACATAATTCAGCTGACTGTCATGTAAAGGAAGGTAAGATAAAGTAGGGGGAGAAGGCGGCAAGTCACTTCAAAAGAGCTGCTCTGAAACTCAGCTCTCCTCTAATCTGCCTTTCAAATCTGGCTTCTCCTGCCCTCATAGAATAAATCCACCTGACATTTTAGTGATTTTTTAGAAAAAATGGGTGAAGTGTTTAGGATACATCAAAGGGGTCGAAGCAGAGAACATCTGAAGAAGATCATCTTTTATCTGATACACTCTTAAAAAAAAATTCATGGCAGAGAAGCAAAAGTACGTTAGGTCTTTGTCCCCACTTTTCACTTTACAAAGTTTTGTATTGTTTTTCTGTGAAACATGATTTAGTCAAGACTGTTTTATTGCAGGAATTACTGTACATAACTTTCGTATTCAGCATCTTTGATTATGTGATTTATCAGGAGAATGTGGTCTTTTGCCCTTCCTGCTACATATTTGTTTCCGCGTACATGTTTGTACCCTTTTCACTCTGAAAATAATTCTGTTCTAAAGTAGACCAGCAACAGGTTTTGAGTAGGTGTGCAGATATGTACACGTGCATTTATATAAGTATATGCATATATATATATGTATGTATGTAGTATCTAGAGTCAGATGTACAACAGAGATGTTTTCATTATGTCAATCCAACTGTTGTAAATGTAGAGAAGTTGGCAGAAAAAAATTAAGCATATTTTCTCTGAAAGTTGTAGTGGACAAAGGATCTGACTTTTTTTCTTTCCTAGTCTCTCTTTAGTGTGGAACTGCTTTTGAATGCTTGTCTTAAAAAATACTGAGTACAACTCTTATTTGCCTTGTGCTGGTATTGATGTTAGAAGTCTTGCAGATTTCTCTAGGAGCAAAGTAAGGGCAGTGCCGAGTCCATCCAGAAAAGTCGCTATTTTCGGTTGTCCTTGCTGCTGCAATTGAGCTGTAGAAGCTGACTTATGTGTTTGTAAGAGAGACAATTCTTTATTACTGGCTTGTCTAGACTCTGAGAGAGCCAAAAGGTGTGAATGCTTTTTAGAATGTGTTAATAACTTTCCTTCTAGTATGATATGGAAGTGTTTCATTTCAGGATTCCCTGCAAGGATTGCTTGAGCCATTGGTTGCAACCCCCTACCCCGCAAAAAACCCCACGCCCCTTATTTTATATAGAATGGCAGTCATTTGAGTTGAATTGTTAAAGAAAATAATGTGACTTAATATATATGTATTCCAACTTCAAGCAAACTATTAATATCTATTTTTTTTATACTTTCCAGAGACGCATGGAATCACATTTAGAATTCAAATCAGTGTGAAAGAACTGCTGGATACAGACATACTTTTAAAGCTGTTATTTCATTTACCAGTCAATTATCCATCAACTCCACCCGATATTTCTGTTAACTCAGACCAACTTACAAGGGCCCAGTGTATGGACGTGAAAGATAAATTACTTGAACAAGCAAAGAAACATCTTTCTGAACCCATGGTACACGATCTAATTCTTTGGATACAGCAGAATCTTAAATATGTCATTAAGCAATCAGCAACAGTTTGCAATGAAAAAACTACTTTGTCAAAAGGAACAAGTGCAGAGGATGGTATCTGGATGCTCCTTTTGCATTTAGATCACATGAGAGCAAAGGCAAAATATGTCAAAATTGTGGAAAAATGGGCTTCGGATCTAAGGCTGACTGGAAGACTGATGTTCATGGGCAAGATAATATTGATTCTTCTTCAGGGTGACAGGAGCAACATTAAGGTGCTGGAACAATGGATGTTGACTAGTTCTATCGATTTACCACTGAAACCTATGTGTCTGAATATTTTGTGTGTGTTTTTCTAAGATTAACAATTTTGGAAGCAGATTGATCATTAGGAGAGCAGGAAGGTCCAGCAACTTTATTCTGTATTTGAGAAAAAGAAGGTATTCTATGAGAAGGAAAGCAGTGATACTTGTAGACCTGTGGCCTGTATTGCTTTGCTTCCCACTGTAATTATACCCCTGTATTCCTTGTGTTTCCTCACTGTAATCTGCCTAGGTTCAGTCTCCTGTATTTCCCAAATGCCCCAGAAAACCAAAAATCTGTGATGAGAAATTAGTAACAGACATATTTCTAGCTCATTACTAACTGTCTCTTTCCACATGGTGCTCCTAGCGCACACCTGGGCTTTGAACTTCTTGTCTGTACTTAGGAACTCCCACTCTATTAGGCAGGTTTTTGTGGTGATACTGGAGGAGAATGTTTGGGCTTTTCAAACTCATGTTCTCTAGGTCACTTAAGACTGTGCTTAACTTCAAGCTGATGAATAGAAGCAGTCGTGCACTTTTTGGGATGGACACTTTCAAAGTTTGATAGCTATATTCTGAAAAAAATCTGTGTGTTTCATATAGGTTTTTCCATTTTACTAAGCTTCAAAGATACTAGGTGACATTTAATATTTTGTTATTTTTTGTCATTTAGGAGTACTTGATTCTTCAGAAAACTTCTAAGGTAGATGTGGACTCAAGCGGAAAGAAATGCAAAGAGAAAATGATCAGTGTGCTGTGTGAGACAAAAGTACAGTCACAGCATAAAAGGTATAATTTAGTACTGTTGTGGATGGAAAAGTAACAGAATCGATAATTACATTCTGACAAATGTAGGCATATTCATGAGTTTCCCTTTTATAATGTAGGTTTCAGACGTTTGAAGTCAAAGAATATTCAACACTGGATGAGCTACAAAAAGAATTTGAAACTGCAGGACTTACAACTCTTTTCTCTGAGTTTGTGCCTCCGCTCTTAAAATAAAACTAAAAGAAAACACTGGACTCTTTGACCAAAGCAGTACTTGGCTGCAGATGCTGATGGAAGATAAAAGGACTAATTTGGCAAACAACGTTAAAGGTTTTCTGCAAAAAGTGCCAGAAGTAGCCATCCTCTTGCAAGGAGGAGAAGGCAATTCATACATTAAGAATAGATAATTTTTTGACATTTATGTATTAATAACTTTTTCCAAGGAATGTGGAGTTAATTGTGATAATTGCATGGCAAGCATGAGAGATTGGGAAGAAATCATGTTAAAATAGTAGTCTTCTAGTTAGACTCTGTTTTGCAATCCCTGTTTTTCAATGTTTAGGTTTTTATCTCTCATGGTAGTGGTTTTTCGTAATGGCCTGCTAGAAAGCATGATTAATTTTGCTTTGAAAGCTTATATGAAGATATTTCTATAAAAAGCATAGCAAACACAGATTTGAATATGTGAGGACAGCATGTACTTTATATCCCTTAGGTGTTCATCTGCTAACTTTTCCTTCTCCGTTTATTTGACTATAAATGCTAGACTGTTGATTCAAAGAAAAAGCTTGTATCACGTGGGGCCTGAAAGAACTTAGAAGTGTCTTTTTGAATGTTAGTTTTTATTCTCAAATGTATAAAAACACCCAAGTGGAGAATTTAAATTGATTAAAAAGCTAAGGTAAAGCCAATTGTAATACTTTCTTTGATAGTTTACAGATACTTTTTTGCACTTTATCTCATTTTACTGTCTGTGCATCTTTACATATTTTGATTAAATTAAACTGTCACAGCAGCATATATATAGACTTCAGTCTTCTGTCTCTCAAGGCTTCTGTCAAGTCTTCTGTCATTTGAGAAGCTGGTAAGTTATAACTCCCTATTAAAATTTCCCTACCTTTAGCATTTTTTTTTTATTGGTCAGTGGCCTTGACCAGCTTATAAATTTTTTTATCACTAGTCTGTGTTTTACTTCAGTATAGTGTTACAAATGATATACATAATTTTTACAAATTAAGTTGTGCATATTCTGTTTGCCTAGGGAGAATTGGATGCTTATTTCTTTATTAATGTCCTTTGGTTTCTGTTTTACCTGATACTGTTCTCTAGCAAGACTAGATAAATTGTCCAGTACTAAAAATTTTGAAGTCATGAGTTTCTCAGTAACTAGCAGTGCCATTTCAACTGGTTTTAACACGTAGCTAAACATGTGTTTTACCACTCTCTAAAACTCACTCCCAGAAGCCAAATGTCTCATGTATTCTTTGGTAACTGAATAGATTTGATCAATTCAGTGTAAATTAATTTATCTCTGTGGTACTAGGGGAAGACTGGTGTGATCTGGTTATTTCCCATAGAGTGGTTTGGCAAATGATTATGTAAGACATTTTGATTTTCAGTTTCATACTCAGACCATGAGGTTGTACCTGTTTCTTTATGTATACTAGAGAAACAACTAAAGCAAACTATTAAGATTTTTAGGTTTTACTATTTGAGATATCAAATGCAGCATAAAGGGCTGTAGACTATTTGAGAGTTTCTTAAGTTTTTAAGGAGTTTGGTAATTTTCCTGATAGGGAGTGTCTCAAATACGTATGTTACATGTTATTTTATTATTAAAGGCTTATTTAATAAGACAGTAGCTAAAGCTCTTCTTAATGAGTCTTTCATGTGTAGCACATGCAGTACTTCAGGCACAGTGGAAAACAGACTAGATTAAACAGGTTTTACAAATCTGTTCTATATTATTTTGAAATGGCTTCCTGAGAGAAAGGAAATCTGATTTTTGTCTCATTTTAAGTGTATGTGGAGATAAATTTTTACTTTTATAAAGAAGAATAAAACAGAAGTATCTTTAAAATATTATATATTTTAAATTATAGTTTTCAGAATTGGGCTATTCTTAATTAAAATATCTGTGTTGAAAAATTGTGTGTCGCTGGAGTATTAAAGTCTTGAAAAGATGCAGAGGCTCTCTCCTTACACTACGTGATAGATCTACAAGTATCAAAAAGAAAAAAAGGCCTATGCATGTACAGCATAAGAAAATGTGATCAATGTCTCTCTGCAAGTCTACATGTTGTAAGGTTTTGCCAGATGGATTTTATACCCTCAGCCAGATCTTTACTTTAAAATGCTCCACTCTTCTGGAAAGAGAATGGTAAGGTACTTCAGCACAACATATACCACAATCTTGGCCATTAAAGTGTAGCTGGAGCCTTATCCAAAAAGCATATAAATCAGTTGTATATGCTTTCTGTTGATTTTGGGAATTGAGTTGAATGGCATACTTAATCACATGATCTCAAATTGCATGTGACTGCAAAAATAATTGAGACATACAGTTGTTGGGGTCAGCTTTCTTGCAAGGTTAGATACAGACTCTCCAACTTTTTCCTCCCTACTGTAGAAGCTACTGTAATTAGCTGCATAAGAAAAGCCATTTGTAGGGTCCGTAGTTGCCAGTTGCACTTGGGTATAAACTCATGTATTTCCTTGGCTATTATTGCCTGATGCATTCTTGGTTAATTGTTTGGTCAGAGCTAGCATTCTGCAAGAGCCAATTAAAAAAGGTAAAAATGTTAAAGAGCAAATGACAGTTGGGTGAGTTGCAGTTCGGTTCTGATCTGTGCTCATCTTCCTGCCAAATGAAGTTGTTGGAAGAAACTAGATGTTTTCTGTATTTCAGGAGTTGTAAAAAGCAGTTTATACAATGGATTTTTATCATAGTTGAATTTATTGCTCATTTACATTGGACATATCATCAAGTCCAGTGTAGGAAAGGACTGCACTTTTTTTGCTTGGTTTGATGTGCTGCAGCAGAATTACAAATCTAATCAGCTTGATACTGTTCAGACAGCAGAGAACATGAAAACTGATGTCAGTCTGATTCTGTCAAAGCAAATGCTTTTGCCTACCCATCAATCAGTCACTTATTTTGAAGGGTAGGAGGATATCTTGTGTTCAGACAAGTAAACAATATTTTTAAAGGTTGTTCTTTTGGAAGGATATTGCAGCTGTCTGTTAACTGATGGTTTGTTTGCATTTATTGTAAAAGGAGATGGGCAAGCCTGTGAGCCCCTGGGGCACAAAGGTCATCGAAATGCATACTGTGCTGCATGTTCTGCTGTCCAAGGGAACTGAAGCAGGTGCAGAAGGACAAAATGCAGGGAAGCAAAGTCAAAACTCCTGAGAATCATTAAAGAATGCATATCCCTGTCTAAGAAGTTAGTGAAGTTACATAGCTATCAGAATCAGACAATTCAATCGCAGGGAAAAAAAAAAAATCTGCAAAGAAAAAATTGTTTAACAAATTAGAAGCTAGCTTTCTTGTGGATACTGTATTATAAATAGTTCTTCAAACAGCGTGGTTAGTAAAGCCTCGTTTCCTCTGGACTTTCTTGTTTCTAAACAATTGCACACATGAAGCCTTTCTTGCAGGAGAGACATTCATGATGGTGCTCTCCCAGGTGGGTTCCCCAGTGCCTGATATTGATTGTGCTCTCTCCATAAATCATTAAAAGTATCAATAGCATTTTTCTTCTCTGCCACCTGTTTTCATCAAAGTTGTAGGAACTTGGTTTCTTTCAGGCTGTTCACCTCTGATTTTAATTGAAATGAGTTGAATTCAAAAGTTCTAGAAGAATTTTGTAGTATAAATATGCATGCTTCTGTATGGACAGCACAGCTGCATAACCATAGTTTCCTTTGAAAATCAGGCTGAAATGAAAGCTGTTGCAATAGGACTGAATACTTGAAGAATCACGTTTTAGGACAAAACTGAGGTTTGATTGATCTTTTTGAATCTCTTGGCTTATTAAATGTGAAGAAAACAAAAAATGGGTAAAGAAAGAAAGATACTTAGAAATAGGAGCCAAACCCCAAACCCAACATCAGCCCTACTTGCACAGTTGTGTTTGCATGAATACATCACATCCGAAGCATCCATTTTGAGCCTGAAGAGATGTGCCTGAGCCGCAGAAGGGTGTGCTAAACTGCAGTTGGACAAATGCCTTGGGACAGCATCCCCCAGTCTCTGGAAGAGATCGCACTGGCTGTGTCGGGCAGGTTTGCTGGCGAATGGCGCGCGCGCACTTTTTTCTGCTCCTTGCATATGATTCATGAGTGTTGTATGTCTGCATTTTCTGCGGTAGGAGAAGGAGGATGGTCTGGTCATCTGAAGAGCACTTCTCTCTCGTTACCCTTTGTGTGGCAAGTGGAAACTGAAGTAACCAAAAAGGCAACCTGAGATCCAAATAATTTTTACTGTTACATGTAACATCAGCTCTTGCTACACATGTATGCTACTGCTAGGGCAGGGTAGTGATGTCTGTGGAATCAAGGACACTGGAGTGCTAACAGATTAAATTACTCCATTCTACCTGAAATCAATCTTTCTACAGTTTTTTTTTTTAGAATCGTTACTGACCACCCTTGTGACCAAGGTCTGCAGATAAAGCCATCTGTGTCTTGGTAGAGGGAGGAGCAGGAATAAAACTCCCTTCTTTCCTGTATTAATCTTTCCAGGCATTATTTATAGCATTAGAATCATAGAATGTCCTGAGTTGGAAGGAACCCACAAGGATCATGGAGTCCAACTCCTGTACGTTAATATGTACTGTTTATATTTAAGGGTTCATATTACCATCTCTTTGAGAGAAACATTTATGAGCAGCATATACTGTGAAGTAGCCTACCATTCAGGAGAACAGTATGACTTCAGTGGAAGTAAATGCAAAGTTCCAGAGGAGGGAAATACTTCTAATGGCAGATGTTGTCAGTATTGGAATTCACCAGTTTTTTTTTTACTTACTCAGTCTCATTAAGATTATAATTCTTGGTCCCTGTCCCCCACCCCATTTGGTATTTGCTGTTACAGGGAGGACGAGGCACTCTAAGGGCTCATAGATGAAAATCCTTGACATAATCAATTAAAAAAAATTGAAAATAGATTTGATTGTTTTGTGAATAAGGCTAATTCTTGTGGTTTTGTGGTTCTCTCTTATTTTCCTGTAATAAGACTATTTGTCTCTTATTTCTTTGTGAAATAAACAAAACCCATCGAGATTAGTATAAATTATATGCAGAAGTATTGTAATGAGCCTAAAGAAACTTTAGAGTGGAAAAATATTTTGTTTACATTGTTTCTTTTAAAAATAGTTTAAAAAACCCTACATATGGATGATTTAAAACCTAGTGTCCCTTGATTTGTTCAGCTCTATCTGTGAAAATACAAACATAATCATGTTATAGTTCATTTGAA